GATTTCACAGTGCAGTAGATCCAATGGTCAATTATATTAAAATATATTTCCAAGAAATGAAAGTTATCATTTATCTATAAAATTCCTCAGCGAGATTTATATTCCATGATAAGTTCTTCAATATTATTTATATGAAATCATCAGTAAGAGTTTTTGTCGATATCATAGTAATTTAATAGTTGAGTTGGAATCCGGCTCAGTGGTCTAAAGGTTAAACGTTCTCACTCGAGACCGATAGCTCCTGGGTTCTAATCCCACGGGTTGGGATCGTGAATGCGCACTACTAAAGAGTCCCACAGTAGAACAAAACGGCTGTCCAGTACTTACAGGTTTTTCATGGGGGTCTAGCTTTAATTGACTCATGAATTCAACTATCAAATTATATTAAATTAATTTCATTTCTAATCTAAAATCAAAAAAATTTAGCAATCTACCGTCACTTATATTAATTCATTTTGATAGTTAAAGAATTTTATTAAAACATTGAATAAACAATTAAAACAATAATAGTGATCTTTAAGTAAATACCAATTGATTACATTTTTTGTTTTAATATGAAAAAGCAAAACCTACATTCATTCATTTATCCAATATAAATTTAGTAGAAATACAAGGAGTAACGTCAATTTTAAAGAAAAATATAATCCACCTTTTATAATCATAAGTGACATTTTTAATACAGTTCATTTATTTTTAAATAAGAATGTTTAATTACAATAATCTTAGCTATTAAGTAAATCAACCTTCAGTCATTCAGTCAGTCAGCTACAACGTAAGATCGGGCACATATATGCATCGGTCCAAGTTACCATATCGCATTAACACAACAAGATGAACACCGGATTCATAGCAGTTAAGCCAATGGTGGTAATATATTAAAGAAAGATTGCATATAAGGATATAGTACAGAAAGAAAGAATTAGTACGTAGAAAGAAAGATATGAAGCGATTTTAATCTCTTAGTTTAAGGGAAGACAGAGAGTGTATACACCTACAACATTGTGATCGATTCTGAGCCATGTCACTTTTAAATCAACCTTGGAAAGTAATAGTGATCAGTATAAGTGATATACAGTTATGGACAAATTATATAATAATCAATTAATTATAATTATGATCTACACTGAAACTTTTATTGAAATAAAATTTAGGCAGTTAAATTTCTTTTCAGATTTGTTTGTATATATTTGAATAGGTTATGAGAAAGGAAGTTAATATGACTAATTAACAGTATTAAAAACTTATTTCAAAACTAATGATTACTTTGTAATGAATAATTATTTTCAGAAGGGGTTTCTGTGGATATTACAGTAATTTTAATAGTTGAGATCATAAGTCAATTGAAGCTAGACAACCGTGGAAAACCTAGAAGCACTGGATAGCTATTTCGTCCTATTGTGGTACTCCTGAGCAGTGCGCAATGTGTGAGCAGATGTGTCGCTCAATTTCGTGGATTAGTTTGAATTAGACATTAACACCACTGGATACCGGCTTAATGGTCTAGAGGTTAGGCGTTCGCATGCGAGACCGATAGGTCCTGGATTCGAATCTCGCGGGGTGGAATCGTGGACGCGTACTGCTGAAGAGTCCGATACTAGGACGAAACGGCCGTCCAATCCTTCCAGGTTTTCCATGATGGTCTAGCTTCAATTGACTCATGATCTCAACTTTTGGAATAATTATTTATTAGTTAAAGCCTTTGGCCTTCACAATTTACGTTGATTGTTCAAATCCTAGTTCATCAACTTCGGTTCAACCTAGTAGATGGTATCTCTAATACTCAGATAGAAAAAAACATGTATAAAGGCCCATAAAAGAGCTCATGATAATGTTCATTTATGAGTCATTTTAGAATACATAGATGCTACTTTATAATGTCTTGGTACTTTTCAGCAGTAAATTGCATTTCACTGGCTAACGTCTGTAACTTGAGAATGGGATTAGTCTTCACAATCAATCACCCATATATGAATGTTCACGTCACTACTGATTTTTGTGAAATTACGTTTTAGTGATAAAATTACTAGACATTGAATTCTAGGTTCAAAATTTGTTTTACTAGCTTCGGTCTAGGAAGCTGATGAGTATCAACGTAGCGTTTGAATGCATACATGAAACTATTTTTCGTCGGACAGAAAATATCTATTACTTATTACATATGAAGAAATATTTTAAACATTCATAGTGTCCAGGCAACCATTTCATAAATCCTTAATGACAGAGTCTAGCTGTACATTAAATTTATGTGTTTAATTCTTTCCTAAAATACAGAACAGAACAGTCAAATATTCATCGTATTCTTATTTTGACAAACGTATTTGCTTCACAGCAATTTTTTCCAATAGTGTTCGCTTCAATAAAATAAGTATCTTTCAAATAGATTGTTCGTATTGAAATGGTTAATTTAAGAGTATTTTCCACTATTAAATCACATCACTTAAAGAAATGTTGTAAGTCACAGGCAAACGGAAATCTGTTTTGCCTCAGTCTGAAATATCATAAGACAGTTAACACACAGCCACCTTGTGGATTAAATAGTTACTTATGGACGACACTAAATTAATGTTTCATATATATTAGAAGTTTGAAGGTTGTTGACAAGAAACTCCTGACCACTATTTAGTGATCAGCGTTGAAGTTACATGAAAAGTTGGATTGAATCAGGTGTAGAACACTTTAGTAACTGGATTTTGTTAAGTATTTAAACAGTATTATGCACTCTGAAAAATGTGCGTCCTTTAAGGTCGATCTATTAAGATATCTTAAGGCCACAATGTCTAGTCGTTATAAACTAATACAAGAAATATTAATCCAACAATCCCTAGGTATATGGTAGTTCCCGAGAATATTTCTTCTCATTATCCTAACTTGTAATCGCGTTCATTTCCTTTCAGGTTCACTGACGTTTTTATTCTTCAAAGTATGTCTGCTCAGGAAAAATGGTCCAGCTATCATGTTGAATAATATTAGTTAATATTAATACATTAACTATGTTAGATATTAATAATAAATGTAATTTTCGTTATATCCTAATGAGTACAAAAATTGTATTTCTGACTGAATCCGGTTATTTATTTATTCTGAAGAAGTGACTTACATTAAGTCACGAAACGTCGGAAATACAATTTTTATACTCATTAGGATATAAAAAAATATATTTGTTATAAACTTTCTACCTGATGGTCAGTTCATTTTAAACTAACATTGGCATTCATATATATGCTTGATATTAACATGAAATATAGACTGGTAATAACCATTTGCAACTGTGATGTAAGCTGAAAGATATTAGGAACCAGAAGATCACTATGCCTAACAAGTGGATCAACAGTCTGATGTTACTGAGTCACAAATTATAATACCTTTGTAAATAATTCATTAACGGAAAGGAATCTATATTTCTTAGACGTAACCTGATCACTAATTTGTAAAATGTGAGTTTTATAATGTGGTATATAAAAAAATTAATTAAAATCCTTTTATTTGATTATTTCTAAGCTACTGGCTTGTTGAATATAATTTGTTTTTACACAATATCGTCGTAAAATGTGTCCAGAGTCGCCAAACTTAACTACTTTTGATAAGTATTTTAATAAACCTTGTTTCGTTCGTTTTAAAACCATAATATACACTTTGTTTTCCATGAAACATGTTTTAAATGTGATCTCGAATCTTCAACTTATAATTCCAGGGTTTATGATGGTTCGTTGGTCTCAAAATAACAGAAACGTGGACAATTTATTGGACTGCCTCATTCCATACACTTTCCATATTTGAAAACAATTAATTTACTTTTAGATTCTGTTTTATCTAACACTGAACTAGTTAATTTAATGTTTTGTCCATTTCGAATGTTAATGAAGCCTAAGAGGTACAAAAATGTGCCTATTCAAATTTCTACACACTGTTCTAACAACTAGAAAATACAAATACTTAATGAATATAGATCTAACAAAATCGTTAGATACTTAACAATAGTGAAAATTATGTAGATCTCGATAAAATAGTTTGACATAACTATAGTGTTGGATCATTAATTGTATTTATCATCTAACTGAATTACCTATTCAGATCACTCCCATATTCATATCTGTTTTCAATGATTATTGAAAAAACAATATACAAACGCTATGACAGATATTTACATTTTAGAAGTAACAGTTATTCACTTGTGAAAAGTTGTATTCATCTGCCGTAATTACCTTTCATTCTGTAGCTAAATAACAACCGTCGCTTTGATAAATAACTTACTATTAGGCCTAGTTACGATACACGTTAAATTCTAATAATAAATGATATTTAGGCTGAATTTACACTAAATGTTAATTTTCTTGTCTATAAATTATAATCATGTTAGTCAAAACAGTGATAAATGGTATTCAGTATAAATTAGATTCAATAGTCATAGTTACTAATGTTAACAAAAAGTACTTTGAAACGATAATAACATTTATGACACCGGTGAATAACAAAGTTGTACAAATTTAAGCTCTCCCTATAAACGAATCATACACAATTGTATCATAACCATCACGTTCAACCATTCACAAACATCAACTATAAAAGAATTAGGTTTATTAATATTAATAGATAGATGAACTGATATTAGATCGTAACACAAATAAATTATGATCACTATTTTTTTTCATTTATTATTTCAATAATATACATTTATTACAAAAACTTGACAAAATAATATGAGATGGGTTTTGTGGATATTATAGTAATTTCAATGGTTAAGATCATAAGTCAGTTGAAGCTAGACCACCATGGAAAACTTGGAAACACTGGACGGCCGTTTCGTCCTATTGTGGGACTCCTCAGCAGTGCGTATCCATGGCCTCGCTCCCTGCGAGATTCAAATGACTCATGATCATAACCACTGAAAATAATATGAAATAGAATTTCATCAACTTGTTAGAATTATCAAGGATATGAATTAGATTAGTAGATTGTCAATTATTTACTTAATATTCATAATGAGCAAAATAGACACTTACCACCTGGTAAATCTATTGTTTCATTGAATTTTGAAGCATAATCTTCTGTTCTTATACTGTCATTATCTAAATTATCATTCATAATTATGATTAGCGATAAATATCACCAAAAGTTTCGTCAAAGCGTTTTGTTTTTTAATAATTCCAAATATGAGAAATTAAAATGGATTATGGTTTTTTTTTGTTTTATTTACCAAATTTGAAGTAACTGACCAATTTATCTTTGTCTATAAAACATCAAATCTATTCCAAATGACTAGAGCTACTGATTCAATTTTGTATGTATGGACAAATATGTTTAGTGTGTTTTGACATAAAACTGTTTGACAATTATTATTCGAATCATTCTCATTATTATAAGCGTTCAAATTAATTGGGACTATTTATGCGGGTGATTACCTTAAGAAATAGAACATCTGACTGATGTATCTATGATTGATTAATTATAAGGTAGGCGTAATGACTCGATTTTTACCATTAGAATAATAAGTTTATAGCATAAACTACTTATTATTTTGCTCAAAATCAAAGCAAGTACTGATCAACAAAAATCGGATACTTATGTGAAATGGTTAAATTGAGAATGCTCACAATTACTTATTTATTCATTACGTACTAGAGAATGGAATAACTAGGAAATGATTTTGCTGACTTATTTGATATATTAAAAACTCAACTGCTTTGTAACTGTTATTTCGAAAATCCTATAAAAATTTCTTTTTGAATTATTCTATTTGAAGATTCATGTTACACCCTAATGAAAATCGGGTTTTGAAAGTTAACGAAATAGGTTATTCGTTAATTGATTTTGTTTCACTTTTCGTTTATTCTCGTATGTTTTAGAGTTTCATTTGGTGTTATTTTTCCATCCTGTTTGTGAATTTTCCAATTACTGTACCCTGATATGTTTTAAGTTGTTTTTTTCATTCAGCGATAAATAGTCTATATCTTGTTTGGTCATTATATTGCATTGACGTACTGAAACTCCTATGAGTTGAAAACTTTTGAATTCGAAGCCGTTAAATGTACTTAACAGCTTTTTAATCATGTAGGTAATAAATATGAAACGAATCTTTACCACCTAAGAAGATATTTTCAATTTAATCTGAATATTTTTATAATTTCTGTCAGCTGACATGTAACTGATTAATATACTAAATAGAAATGAAACTATCAAGTTACTAAAACTAGAACCAGGAAACAAAATAACCACATCTTAATAAAACAGTGAAACATAGTAATTAAAAAATTTTTTCCTTCGTTAAATCATATTAATGGTATCACATTATTTTTAAAAAGAAGAATTCAGAACAGTTTGAGTACGTAAATTCTCGAACAATTATAATGCATGTATTACAATTCTTCAAGTAGTGAGTTACTAAATGTACTAACATATAAAAAACTTCCATTCCTGAATACAGAAACACTACTAAATATTTGAAGTTATCGTATACCAGTGGAAATGTATTGAAATGGAAGTACTATTTATATTAATTGGTTTTTAAATCAATAAAGGTAATTCGATAGGGAAATTATCAAAATCATTATTCCAGATATTTATGTTAAGAAAAATAATCTCTGTTAGCTTTTATGGTAAAGTCATGAGATTGACAAGAATTCAGACGATTCTACATATCAGAATGGAGGTTTGTGGATATTGTAGTAACTTTTTAAATTATTGAATTCATAAGTCAAATCCGTTACAAGTAGTGACAGGTAACTACCTCAGACAATGGATGAATGGTTGAGGAAGAAAGTGGATCGACTGAAGTTAGACATTAACACCCTTGGATTGTAGCTCAGTGGTCTAGAGGCTAAGCGTTCGCTCACAAGACAAAAGGTTCTCGGTTCGAGTCTCTCGCGCAGGATTGTGGATGCGCACTACTGAAGAGTCCCATACTAAGACGAAACGGCAGTCCAAGTCTTCCAGGTTTTCAATGGTGTTCTAGCTTAGGTCGACTCATGAACTGAAGTTTTAAATAAATTCTACATATATCTGAATGAAGAACATTGCCGTTATTATTTTAGTCACTTCAGCTTATCATTTTGATCAATTTGCTGAAATAAGTAGGACTATTGAACAGATAATTTCGCTAATAAGACTTGTTCTTCAAGCATCTAAATAAAAAGAATTTAGAAACCAGATAAACCGGCTGGATATGATCATTATTTGCGTACTTATATACCAGTGTATTAAAATTATTATTCATACACTAAATATTGGACCAAATTGGTATTCTTTCACTCCATTTAAGTGAGGATTAAAATGATGGCCATAAAATAAACGGTTATTGATCATAAACATTCGTTACATTTGTAAAAGTTACCAATAATAAATTCATATTAATGCATATTTTCTGTTCATATGATTGATTAATCTAATTATTGTTTCACCTTTAATCGATCACTAGATGTCTGAATAAAACGTAGATACTTTTTCTGGTTATTTATGCTATAGCGACTATCAGAAAATAGTTTCCATCGTGAAATGACTCTAGCTGGACTGATATACAAAACCAAAGAGTACTAGTAGAATTTATAACTCTATTAGTGCTTACAAATATCAAAAGGGGCAACAAGTTCAGAACCTTAAACTTCATCTACTGATTTCACTTTATGATAGAGACTCTTTAAAAAAATCAGTTATTCTTAAGACAACTAATTTAACAAAGGTTCTATGCATTGATGGTGGTTGGATTTTTGATTGAATTTCTTGAGATTTATTGGGAACCCCATCAGTAGGCCTCAACAAACACGAAGGAAAACACAAGATCTTCAAATAAAACACAAGGAACACCAACCCAGTCACACTCAATAACGAAACTCTGGAATATGTGGATTCTCTCACTTACTTGGGAAGCATCATCTATGTACAAGAAGTATCAGATGCAGACGTAAAGGCGAGGATTGGCAGAGCAAGGCCGCATTCCTTCAGTTGAAAAACATGTGGAACTCAAACAACTTTCAACCAATATCAAAGTCACAATCTTCAAAACGAACATCAATTCAGTTCTAATGTATTGGAGAACTACTCCAACCATCATCAAAGAGGTATAAGTATTTATGGATGGTTATCTACGTAATACAGTGAATGTCCGTTTTCCGAATACCGTCAATAACACCATTCTGTGGAAGAAGACAAATCAGCTTCCAGATGAGGAGAAGATTAGGAAAAGACGTTGTAAGTAGGTAGGACATACATTACGGAAATCATCAAACGGCATCACCAAACAAGCTCTAACTTGGAATCCTGAAAGGAAACGCAAAATAAGAAGGCGAAAGAATACATTACGTCGGGAAATAAAAGCAGATATGAAAAGGATGAATAACAACTGGAAAGGACTGGACAGGATTGCCCAGGACATAGTGGAATGGAGAGTGCTGGTGGGTGGCCTATGCTCCTTGACGAGAAGTAACAGGCGTAAGTAAGTAAGTGTTGGGAACCCATGAATTTTTGATTCAAACACCTCATATTACCGATGACACTGAGTGGTGATCGAACTATATTAGCTGAATCTTGAAATATGGACCAGAGAATTTAGATTGAAATGTCTACATTTTTCATTATTTAACTTTAATAATTTTCTATTTAACGTTATCGTGAGATGATAAATGAATCTGTATTATTCACTAGTTTATACACCAACATAATATCAAGTAATGTCTCTGAGAGAAAAAAAATCTGTTTAATAATCAAATACCTTAAAACATTAAATGGAAACCATGGTGCTAGTTTTAAAAATACCCAGATAGAAATCAATATCTAAGAAAAAATATTTTAATAATTGATTATTGTGATCAGTTAGTGCTAAATTCAGTATGAAAAAAACTATTTCATTGTTTTCTTTATTGATCAATAAATATTTCTGTACAAAATCAGACACTTAATTAATGTTATTAATAAATGATCAGTGTATATAAAACAATTAAGAAATATACTAATTAATTTGATTGATACAATATTGTTTATTCCTAAAATCACTTCATTTATGTTATGAAATCCACAATTTTTAATTAAATTTAATACAATAAACAAAAGTTAGTTGACAAAATTGTTTTATTTATATTGAAAATTCATTCATTGTATTAATTATTGAATAGTTTATTGTTCAGAATAAAATCTAATTAATATGAAACAGTTTTTAATTAATCTAAGTAGGTTAAGCGTTCTCGCCCAAGACACAAGATCCTGGTATGGTGTGTGCTACTTATATTGACATAAGTAGTATATGATGTTATTCTTGAACAGAAGGTCTGACAGTAGAGACAATAGGATCGAACAGTAAAGAATGGAAACAGGATGCAATTTGTATGAAAATGCAAGAACAATGAAGTCTGAGTTATTATGAGGCAATTGCTGTAGATTTTGCGAATTAAGCATTTACTTTATGATTGTTAGATTTTACTAACAGGTCCTGTAATGTTGTGTTAATTGCATTCGATTGTCCCCGCTGATGTTCCTGTTCACTACGCTGGGTTCGAATCCCTCGGGCAGGACCGTGGGTGCGCACTGCTGGAGAGTCCCACAATAGGACGAAACGGACGTCCAACACTTCCAGGTTTTCAGTGGTAGTCTAACATCAATCGGTTCAAGATGTCAATCAATAACTCAGTAATCTCCATAACCCTATACTGATAATTTTTAAGACATTTTTTAAAATTCACTTGGTGTTGTTGTTTTACTTGTATCTTTCCATTGTTATTTAGAACCGCAATTCATCAGTCTCTGTGCGGATTGTCTCGATATAGCCTTAAGTCACAAGGTTTTTAGGCAAAGATGGATAGTGGCTAGCAGTGGAATCCAGTTTGACACTCCTTTTGTCCTATTTGGGACTCATCAGCTGGATGGGTCACCCCGGGACTCGAGCCAGTACCGTACGCTTCAAAGGCCGCCGCGTCTAGTTATTCTGAACTGGAATGATGAACAACACAATAGATTCTAAACATAACTTTTGATTGTGAATATAAATTATCATTGGCATTAGTGACTTAACATTACGAGTTACAATTAACAAAACTTTGATATTTTTATTTGGTGATTCACGAGAGGATTTGTATAATTTTGAATATAGCTTTAATCCA